CCCCCCCCCCTTAAAGTATCTGGTCATTTTAATTTACCATTGACTGTCAGGTGATTGCTTCAGATACTTGAAGTTAAACATGTCAATGAACTTCTACAGGAAGAGGGATTAAGTGTTTTCTGGCATGGAAGTCAAGTGCTCCACATTAGAGCTCAGCAGGACTGGCCATGGAGCAAATACGTGGTCAGGATTTTTGCCTGTGAAAAGACACACCAAAACTATTCTTTGATCTTCTTCATTGGTATTTGGCATTAAATTCTGTACCTGAAGAAAATAAATGTATTTCAGGAGATTTAAGACATCAGAAGTGCTTGCACTTTTATTGTGGTTTCTCATATATTGGTTGAGAATTTAGGGAGGAAAAAAAAAAAATAAATCCCTGACCAGTTATCTGAACATAATATGTTTTATCTTTATGAGTATGTATCTTTTTTTCAGTACAGTTCTCTTGATATATATCTCTATATATCTCTAATAGATCACATGTTTAATTTCATGAAAATCCATAGAAACTTCTTGGAAATTATGATCTATGACATTCCCATTATAAAAATGAGGGTTTAGCTGCTGTTGTCCTGCATGGGCAAAACTCCACACTTCAAAAAAATGGAACAATTGCAGACTGATTTCCTAATTTCTCCAAATGGCCTATTCATTTTCTGTATTTCTTGTTTTGAACCCATTGTGCTGAAGTTTATTGCCTTGGGCCTGCAAGCACTTACCAGCAGCAATACTACTAATTATTCTATTTCTTGTAAATGAAGGTAATTACTTATGTCCACTTCAACTTATGCTCAAATTTTGTGGCTTGTACTACTTGTTTCTATTACCATCTGTAAGATAATTAAAATGCTATTTTGTGTTCTGTGTCTCAGATGGTACAAATATGATTTTGTTTATTTCAGTGTCCATTTGCACAATGCTTCAATTAAAACATAGACTAAGCAGGGTTAAGGCAGATGTACACTTCAGAATCTTCTGTCAGCAGGTGAAAAGGTACTGAAATACAAATGCAATGTAAGAAAGTGTTGCTGTTTCAGTTTCTTTACCTGCACATGGCAGGGTGGATGGGAGTTTTATATGATAATCTTGACTTGAAGAGAGGATACTGAAAGCATTCGTTTTTGAACATTTCTGTCCTCCAGTCAAGGCATGTATTACTGACCAAAAAGAAGAATATATCAGCCAATTCTCCGGAACAACAGATCCTCTCACTGGAAAGACAGAGACGAGAGGTAATCTTAAGTTTACCCTTAACTTTTACAGATATAACCTTTAAGACAGACATTGCAGTATCAATAATATGCCCGGGGCAGGAAATCACTGAGTGTGTTATCACTGTTACTTACACTGTGTTTATACTGCAGTTGCTTTTACCTGCCAGTCCATCAAGGCCTATGTTTTTCTGTGGGAATCTCATCCCGTGCTCATGCAAGACAATTTCTATGTGGACACTTTCTGCTTTGCATTTCTTCACAGCCCGAAGTGTGAAAGCACTTAAAATTATATTTAAACTAGTTCCTATAGTCCTACTTCTCTCTGCCAAGCTAGGCAGAGTTATATTTGAAAAACTGTTCCTTAGAACAAATGATGACTTACTGTAACGCGGCTATGAATCTAGAAGAGCAGAGATTTATATGGTACAAAGGGCAAATTTTCTTAATGATCACTACTGTAAGGGCCAAGGAACCACTATGAGTAGTAGCCAGTGTTGTCTTGGTCACTGGTAGCAGCAAACTGGAAGCCATTCTTTTGCTGAGCATCCTAAAGTGTGACCCTGTATCCTGCAAAGCAAAATGCTTCAGAGGGACCTGTTTGGCTTTCTCCAATAAAAACATACGCACGCTGACTTCAATCCTACCACTTACATACATGGTGTTAGCTGATCTTCCCATCCTGCATGTGTACACTTTCTCGGTTTAGTGGTACTGAGAAACGTAAGTGGGGTTTGAACCCAGTAGTAATTGCAGTCAATAGGAGTCTTCAATTTACTTGTTTGAAGTAGAGACCTTCTGATTGGAAATATGTTTATGGAACTTAAAGCAAACTAACAAGAAAGTCCGTGGCAGTTTAGGAGTTGCAGCTTGGGATTTGTATGGTGTCACAAATTATTCACCTGTAGCTTATTGTGTATTTGCATGTTTCCTGAATTTTACTTCCTGAACGTTCATGTACTTTAATTGAAATACCAAAGCACTGGCAGATGGGCTGTAAAGCTTGCCAAACCTTTAACTTGCTTTTCCTGAAATGAACTGGCCAGATAATGAGGAGGTTGTGAACACTCGTTACTGGAGGGTTAGAATGCCAGTCTATTTTTTATTTATTGACAATGTTGAAATAAGGGTTATTTACTGTGACTTCCTGATAATTACAGCTGCTGGAGGTGAACAAACAATGGGATCATCAATTTAGAAGTATGAAACAGCTTTATGAAAAACAGGTAACAATGTCGACTACTTCTATTGGATTATGTGTGCCACCTGCTGATAGTTAAGTCTGTGCTTAAATACCAACCAGCCATAGCTACAGTAAATATCTTAGGGGGGAAAGGCATTATGTTTACTTTGTCTTTAGCTCACAAATTAAAAAAGCTTCATCACATAGAAGTGAAGCTAATGTGTGTGCAATCTTCAGTAGGACAAAATAACTAGAGAAGCAGGGCATCTCTCAAATAGTAGGAACCAGGATGGACATGACAGCAGAGATCTTCATGCCCTCCACAAGGTAATAAAAATTGCTTGTCCTTCAGAGCACATTTCACTGAAAATTAGCCTGCAGTGCCTGGTGTGCCCAGCCACTGATCTGCACCATTACATGTATGTTGGTTCTTGTCCCATCTCTTGTGGCTGGCTTGTGAAACCCGGAAGCTCTCTGGGGCTCCCCGTAATGGGGGAGCTCTTAGATAAGTCCTCCATGAATGCTGCCTTCCTTAAGCAGAGATACTTTCTTGCTTTTAAGAAACTACTCTGTACAATATCTCTTCATTTAAAAAAATAAATTGTAAATAAATCCTTTTTATGTCTTTTTTTTTTTTTTGTTAAGATCCCATTGGCATAGCTTTCATTCCTTGCTTGTGGCTGTGTGGCATCTTTGCCGCAGACATTATAATCAGCTGCCTAGTGAAGGTGGCTACTTACAATTATTCCCAAAACCAAGTTGGTTCATTGACTGACACTTCTCATCTCCTGTTTCCTTCTATGAAAAGGAAGTTTGCAGAGTGACCTCATGTGCTTATCAGGAAATTTTTTCTCTAATATTTTCCAGCAAGCTTTTCTGAGATCTGGATAATTTCTTTGATTTATTCCCCCCCCCCCCCCCCCCCCAAAGAAGAGATAAA